AAATGTGGTAAATATCATGCTTATATTATTGAAATTTGTGTATTACTGCATTTCTGACGAAGCCTAAAATGGTTTCTGCACAACACTTATGTACCAATAAGCGGCTTATGAATAGTACTAAAGGTGTAAATAAAACACTTACGTTTGATTTACACAGTTATATGCACTAAATTGTCCTATGTTAGCAATAGGTGGTATTGTTAGGTGAAAAAAATTATTCAAGTCAACTGAAAAAATAACATTACTTACTTACGCCTGTTACTCCCAATGGAGCATAGGCCGCTGACCAGCATTCTCCAACCCACTCTGTCCTGGGCATTCTTTTCTAGTTCCATCCAATTCTTGTTCATTTTTCTCATGTCTATCTCCAGTTCTCGGCGTAATGTGTTCTTTGGTCTTCCTCTTTTCCTTTGACCTTCAGGATTCCATGTGAGGGCTTGTCTTGTGACGCAGTTCGGTGCTTTCCTCAATGTGTGTCCTATCCACTTCCAGCACTTCTTCCTCCACTGGGATCTGGTTTGTTCTCTCCCACAGTACGTTGTTGCTAATAGTGTCCGGCCAATGGATCTGAAGTATTTTGCGTAGACAATTGTTAATAAACACCTGTATTTTCTGGATGATGGTTTTTGTAGTTCTCCAGGTTTCTGCCCCATACAGTAGAACTGTCTTGACATTTGTATTGAAAATCCTGACCTTGGTGTTGGTTGACAGTTGCTTTGAGCTCCAGATGTTCCTCAGTTGTAAATATGCTGCTCTTGCTTTGCCGATCCGCGCCTTCACATATGCATCAGATCCACCCCGTTCATCAATGATGCTGCCCAAATATGTAAAGGTTTTTACATCTTCCAAATCTTCTCCGTCGATTGTGATTGGATTGGTGCATGCTGTGTTGTATCGGAGAATCCTGCTTTTCCCTTTGTGTATGTTGAGACCTACTGCTGCTGAGGCTGCTGCCACACTGTTTGTCTTCTCCTGCATCTGTTGTTGCGTTTGGGATAGAAGGGCCAGATCGTCTGCGAAGTGTAGATCATCCAACTGCATCTTAGATGTCCATTGTATCCCGCGCTTCCCTTCAGACGTTGACTTCTTTATGATCCAGTCGATCATCAGGAGAAAGAGAAAGGGTGAGAGTAAGCAACCTTGCCTAACACCGGTCTTCACTTCGAACGACTTTGTCAACTGTCCTCCATGCACAATTTTGCAGTGTAATCCATCATATGAGTTCTGTATGATATTGACTATCTTCTGAGGCACGCCGTAGTGTCGAAGAAGTTTCCATAGTGTTGTTCTGTCCACGCTATCAAATGCCTTTTCGTAGTCAATGAAGTTGATGTAGAGTGATGAATTCCATTCAATTGATTGTTCCACAATGATCCGTAGAGTTGCGTTTTGGTCTGTACACAATCTATCCTTACGGAATCCTGCCTGTTGGTCTCGAAGTTGGGCGTCTACGCAGTCCTTCATCCTGTTTAACAATACCCTGTTGAAGACTTTTCCCGGTATTGAGAGAAGAGTGATGCCCCTGTAGTTATCACACTTGCTGAGATCGCCTTTCTTCGGTATTTTGATCAGAAGTTCTTCTTTCCAGTCTGTTGGTACTTGTTCCTCATCCCAAATCTTATTGAAGAGAATGTGGAGTATCCTTGCAGTTGCCGCTACGTCTGCTTTTAGTGCCTCTGCTGGGATGTTGTCCGGTCCTGCTGCCTTGCCACTCTTGATTTGTCTGATGGCCATGCTGATTTCTTCAATTGTTGGTGGGCCAACATTGATTGGGAGGTCCGTGGGTGCTGCTTCGATGTTGGGTGGGTTCAGTGGAGCTGGTCGATTCAACAGTTCTTTGAAGTGTTCTACCCACCTGTTTTGTTGCTCTTCAATGTTGGTGATTACCTTGCCTTTTTTGCTTTTCACTGGCCGTTCTGGTTTGCGGCGATTTCCAGAGAGTTTCTTTGTCGTGTCATACAATTGTCTCATGTTTCCTTCTCTTGAAGCCTTTTCCGCCGTCGTTGCTAAATCTTCCACATATTTACGTTTGTCGGTTCTGATGCTCCTCTTCACTTGTTTGTTTATTTCCGTGTATTCAGCTTGTGCCTTAGCTTTTTCTGCTCTTGTCCGGCTGGTATTGATCGCTGCCTTCTTGTTTCTTCTTTCTTGAATCTTATCCAGTGTATCAACAGTGATCCATTCCTTGTGGTGGTGCTTCTTGTGACCCAGGACCTCATGACATGTTGAAGTGATTGCCTCTTTGACCCCCTTCCAGTAATAAAAATGAGAAGATATCAAAGACCACACCTCCATCCACTAGGCACACAGGCCTGATAATGTGTTCGTATAAAACAACGTAGAATAGTTGGTTAGGAGTCGGCAGGTCAGTGCAATTGTATTTACTCTTATATATGATTTAATATAATAGTGGAAAATAGGGTAAATAAATCACAAGAGACACCTAGGTTTGAGAATTCTTAACATGTTCTGACTAGGGTATTTTTAAAATTGTTTTCCCATGTATGAGAATGAGATTTACTGCTTCAGCATGCACCTGGACCATCGTCCTCCTGGTGGCTAGGTCACATTCCCAACCAACCGACCATATCCACTCATAGTGGGCCTAAGTGTGTTTTCTTAATTTTGTAGATTACAAATTATACTTATGACTAATATAACATGGAAATTTTTAAGATGGAAAACAACCTGGTTCTTAAATGACTCCGATCATTCCATTGCTCCTAAGAAACCTTTTGGATTCTAAGACTCAACTTTCAGAATTTCTTTTACTTTCTGACAATTCCTGGTCAATGGGTAACGGTGGTCGTTACATGGTCATGTATTTAACTGAGTTCGGTAGTAAATACAACTCCTGAATGGAACAGATTGATATTTTTTAAGTAACGTTCCGTTTCGATACATATTCGTTCCCACGCTGACTTGTCAGTCACATACCATAGACTAGTGGTTCTACTTTGTACTCCCTTAATCCGTTCTTACAAATATATTACTTGGCAATAAGATCATGTATTCTAATCAGTAAAAAAAGTCAATTTACCTGGTTGTCATAATGCGATAAACCAGGCTATGTGCCAACCACCTGGTGTAACTTGAAGTTAAGCTAAGAGGACAAACGATTCTAGTTCAACCCGAGTTGACCGACTTCCATTTAGGTCACCTACATTAATGATCTACAGCTTGGAAACAACACTTAAACAGTAACTGTGTCGGATCGGTTAATGCTAACGCATTTGAACCTTCCATACGTAATTCTTTAAACTTGATGAATTGCCTCCTAAATTCGGCAACATAAAGCACATCATAATCTTAACCAACTACAATATTAAATGTGTGACAATGAGGCTCGTGGTAGATAGCGATTCAGCGGTATCCTGGCGTGGTCTACTAGTAATAACAGCGCCGCAGAAAACGCTTTGTCAAGCAGACCCTGTGCTAAACTTGCGTTGATTATGGCCCACAGGTTATATTCGTAAGAAAAGACTTGTGGTGTAAGTGAATTGGAGTATATGTGAGCGGTTTCGTGACTTTAAAATACATATTTTTCATGAAGAAAAACACCAAGACTATATGGAGTTTTTTTAAGCTCCATGTAAATTCGATGGCTGATTACATTGATCGATAAGGTATAATTTCATTCGAGTTATCAAACACGGCAAGCGTAAGTAAGTGTCCATTTATGTAAAGTTTCTGAAACTTTAATAGGCTACTCATACAGCTGTTAGAATTATGAAGAGAAACCGCGAAAGTATAATCTGATCTATTTGAAGTTATTGCAGAATTCTGTATAGAACGGAGCTTTCTTGAGTTATAGTTAGAATAAAATTTAAATTAACTGACAGCTTTTAAGATATACGACAAAGTCCCAGAGGGAACATCAATTCTGGGATACAGATAAATCCAGCTGAGGAGTGCGAAGTAGGACGAAACACGCGTCCTGGATTCCACTGCCAGCAGCCACCCATCATTGCTTAAAAGCTTGTGATTTAAGGCAATATCGAGGCAATCCGCACAGGATGCACATATGCCGACAAGAGACTGATCAATTTCAGTCCTAAACAACAATGGGAAGATACAAGCAAACAATACAAATTGAATTTTTACGACAGTAGCTTTAAATGCTGCATATATAAGTAAGTAAATACCTACATAGGTGGAATTCTTTTTCGTATATTTCTGTTTATGGGATCGGACGAGAACCGGTGTCTTCAATGTGTACGGAGCTGAAACTTGGAGAACTACAACCATTATCAAGAAGGTACAGGTATTTATCAACAACTGTTTACGCAATATCCTCAATATATTTTGGCTAGGTATGATCAGCAATAACCTACTGTGGGAGAAAGAAAACCAACTTCTAGCTGAGGAAGAGATTAAAAAAGACGTTGGAAGTGGATAGAATACATGTTGAGGAAGTCATCAAAATGCATAACAAAGCAAGCGCTAACTTAGAACCGTGATGGGAAATGGAAAATAGGAAGACCGTAGAGTACCGTGTATCGAGAATCGGAAACAGTCATAAAAGGTATAAAAAGCAACTGGAAAGGATTGCCCAGGACAGAGTTGAATGGAGAATACTGGTGGGCGGCCTATGCTCCTCCACGAGGGTTAACAGGATTAAGTAAGTATATGAGTCAGAATGTATATCCATCTTGTGGGTACCATAAATCATTATTCGGGAGCGCAATAAGTGGGACACCCGGAGGTGGAAAGCTGACTGAAATCGCAAGTATCTCCATTCTGAACTATATACCTATCGATATACATTCAGTCCGCGCTAGAGACAGGGAAGCAGTAATTGTTGCTATCCAAGAAACAAAACCTCCAAGCTTATGTATGGAGCTTGTAAATAATATAACAAAGCGATTAAACACATTAAAACATGATAACGTACATAAAAACACTCCATTTTGATTACAAAGTGATAAACTGTACAAATTTAGATTTGAAAGCGTTTGGGTAATAATGATGAGTTGCTACTGCAATATATTACAAAAAAATTAGTTCAGTGACGGACTTCTGTTTACGTTCCATTTGATTCGTATTGTAGGCCATTTTGTTGCCAAGCACTGCTGTATAGGACTTTGATCAATAGGCTGGGTCTCGATAAGCTCTTCTGTAGGATCTATTAAGCGGGCTTCACCAATACTGTATCGAACCTGTTTACACAAAAAGCGTGGTAAGCACTTTAGCGATAGTTGCTTCCAGCTATGAATTATACGATAGTTGTAACTAAGTGTTGTGTAGTAACGTTTCTTTTACCATTAGCGATGGGTTCATAATAATTTGAACAGCTAATATTTCGCCTACGAAGCAGGAATGTAAGGAATCGACTTAAGCATTTCACGCTATAGAAACTTATGGGACTTATTTTTCAACTATACACAATCAGAAATCATATTTTTTACTGAGTTCAAAACAATCGAATGGGACATTAAGTTTTAGGTCCAAACCACCTTCATCGTTTAAGACCTGGATATGCGAGTGAAATCAAAAGTACTCGTATAAAAAGTGTAACACATAACTGTACTTGGTTATTGAGCTACATTGCGTATATTATTTTTCAAATGTTTTTAAGCCCTATATCGATTACTCAAAAGATTTCATTAGTAAGGAATAACTGAAATAACTCACCCGACCATCAGTATTAGAGTGTTCCAAACCATTATAATGGATTAACTGAAAGCTAAAAACTTCAGTGGTGTGCTTTGCCATTTCTTCGGGAAAAAAGAACTGTAGGAAGTCTTTCTTCAAAATTATTCCTAAACCTTCAGGATCTAGTTTTGTAACTAAATCATTTACTCTGCAAGAAAAAATAATGACGAATCGTTGAATGTAATACGAATAATAATCCTGCCATGAAGTTTGAGTGAAAATACAGTAATTCTGACTGACACTTATTTCTACCATGTCTTACCTTCGTGTGATTGGAAACCACCAGGAAAAATGCTGAAAGTCAATCATGATGACACAGGTGTTCACTTTTAGCATTTGAAGACCTTTTACTAAACATTTCCATGCTCCATAAAATTAGTTATTTACTGATATGTTATAAAGCGCGGTAGTAGCTCGAAATTATATCCGGTATCAGGCTATTTATTTATTCTGGATTCTAGAGAAGTGAATTTGTTACCGCAATCTATGAATCTTATCAAGGTTATTACGAACTCTTAATACAAGTTAGTACATTCATGAGGATTACGACTACCATAATTCCCATGAAGTTGAATATTTGTGTAGTTTTCAATGTTATCTGACGATATGGACATTAGCTTTTGTATGGGAATTTTGAATATAATACACCACAATATATTGCCGAATGACTATGCAGTCATCAAAGGTAATCTGGAGCTTTGTCATTTATGCTACCCATACTAAGTAGATCTCGTGGTTATGATTTGAGAATATGGTGTGTTGGTGTGCTAAGCTGCTACTTCGCAACTTTAACTTCAATACGTAGAGTGAGATTACTGATATCCTCTTCTTTCTTAGTTCACTAACTAATAATAAGAAGTCCAACTTCGCGAGGAAAGCTACTTGAATAATGACCTCAGTAGAATATAAAAATTCATCTCAGTTAACTATCTGTCGATCACAATGAATATAATTTATGAACTAAGGTAATTGTCAACTAAACACAAATTATAGTGAAAATGCATTGAAAGCCCACAAAGTAATGTATTAAAATTGTGTTGAAAGATAACCTTACATTAATCTTAAGTCGATATTGGTTTCCTTCCTCAAGTAGTACCTGAGAACTTCTACAGATAAAGATAATGAAGGTTCTCTTAATCCCTTATGTTTTTGTCTATGCATTTTTGATTACTTTTCTGTTATTCTCATTTTGCATACAGATGTCTGTGGTTCGTCTATAGCTATCCGAGTTGTATTTACATTTATAAGTGATATAATTATGCATCGTGTCAACAATATTCATTACTATCAGAAATTTGTGTTTTCTAATCAGTGAAAAAATTATCGTTACTGACGTTACGTTATTCAGTTACAATAGCGAAAAATCAGTAAAAACAAATTTTTTGTCTTTTCAAAGATTGGAAAATAAAGATTTATAATAACGAAATAACTATAGTTTGTAAAGGTCGGTGGAAAAACAATTTGACAATGATTTTAGAAAATTTACTTACTGTTGGGATCCTGTAGATAGACATAATTTGGTCAGTAATTTTTCAAAATCTGACGAACTGATAAAACCTCCAGTATCTTGATCTGGGCTTAGATAATTAAACTCAACTTCAGCTTGACGTAAACCTGATATGGAGTTAATTTCTGACTTGACATTTTTTGACACCAACGACATGTCTGGCGACGCCAAAACGGTTAAGTGTGTCTCAGATCCCAAAATCCAAACTGGGTAATATGGATTTTTCAAAAACCATCCCACTTCACAATATCTCATTGCTTCAACAAAAGTCAAGAAACCGGTTTTCGGTTGCCTGGATATACCTTTCAATGCTTTACAGAGAAGCAAACAAAATAAACAGTGAAATATTTCATGAAGATGCTTTAGAGACCATATTGTATTTACACAAACTTGATGACTGAAAGTTACGGACAGTGATCATTTAAAAGTATAACTGATGTTCGTTGATCAAGAAATCCAGGAAATGGGAAGTGCGTGTAAATATTTTACACGCGACATAACATTCCTACATTAAACTGATAATTGACACATTTGGTGAGTTCTGTAACGTCAGCAAATTAGTGAGGTAGTGTTACTTTTAGAAGTAAATTCACAAAGGTAATAGCAGTGCATGGTATCGTCAATGGCCGTCAAATCGATATTAAAATTATCAAAACAATACAAAAAGGTTATTCCAACGATAAAGAAAGCCAAATGACTGAAAATTTTCATATACTACTAAATCCTGCTGCTCTTAATAGACAAGAAAGCCTTACCATCTATTTAATTTAGACCATTCATCCAACCCAACACATCTGAATCTATTCACAACGCATACTTTCTTCACACGAATTCACCTTGAATTTCTGACATTGCGAATATCACTTTGTTCACACCCATTAGCATACAAAGATACGAGCATGTCTTACAAAAATCACCTCGAACAGAATGATAAAACATTGAATTAATCAAATCTGTTTTTTGATTGATTAGTAAGTTGAAGCAACTAGTCGCTTTGATAAATTTTGAGTGTAATAAGACGACAAAAATTATCAAAACTAAATGATATACTAGCACAATACATTTCGAACAATCTGATCATACATATACTTGTTAAGAACATTTGTATATAAAAATAAGAGTTCAACTAGATTAGAAATGGAGGGTGAGAGAAGACAAGGATAATAAAGAAAATAATATGAGAAAAAATTGAAACGTCATCACTCTGGATAATGAGCCAGCATTACGAGGGTAGGTTTAAGGTGAGAATAAAGTGTTTTTGGTATTTTCGCCCTGTCCTTTTGTACTGTTTAAATTTAGGTCAGTTTAATTTGTATAGTTATCCTCTGAAGAAGCGAACTACATTGAGTTAGGAAATATTGGGAAATTTAATTCTCTACTCTTTGAGATATTACGAATATATGTCACTATTTTTGTTATTACCAATCTATCCAATGCTCAATTTATTTAAAATTATTAGGTTAAACTTTAGTAATGATACCTATATACTCACATCTAGTACATAAACTTTAGAGATAAGCCACTAAGTACGTGAGACAATCAAATAGCTGATTATATGAACCTTTGATGAATTAGTAAAACAGAATCATACTAGCAAGTCTTAATGTTATCAAGAAGAATTGAATATTTTGTAAGCAAATCTGGGTAAATCCGATGTGCTTCACTTCCTGATTGTGGGCTTTCATAAAGCCTCTGAACCAATCATACACTTTGAATAAGGTTAATTGATGTACATTTGCATTACACATCGTATCAACCAGACTTATTCACTCACATTGTACGACTATAAAAATATAGCAGGTAATTTGTAGACTTTTAGTCCAGTAGCCACGTATAAATCTGCGTAATAAGCTTCTAAATCCAAGTAACTAGGATATTATCAGAATGGGTTTTGTGGAGATTTTTAGAAATTTCACAGGTTGAAATCATGAGCCAACCTGTGAAATAACTAGGATATGTTCGACAACCAGCTCAATTGTTAAGTGGTAGATTTGGACAACCCAGGTGCTTAAAATGAATTATTTTTCGCGAATTCTCATCTAAGTAAATGCCCATAGTATCACTTAATTAAAGGGGAATATACACTCAATGATATTATTAATTTACGCGAAAATCCATGGTGCATACAACTGAGTTGGTCAAGATGCTCTTAACTGTCATGAGTAAGACAAGACTCGCTTGCATCAAGTGTCCAGTAACGTTATAGAAAATACAGGTGGCGTATAAAGCTTAAATATAAACTGGTAAATATTAAAAACGATTAAAACTAGTGACAGACCTCTCTAAAGTTGTTTCGAATATGTTCAAACAGAGGTTTCTTTGATATACTATAGTATATTAAGGTGTGAAAATATACGTCCCATATGAATGAATAGCCCTGGTTTATCTATGAATCACGTAGTCTTTATATCAAGTACATTGGGTTTCATTAGAACTCTTTTGTGATACTTCTTAACACTTGATGTTAAACTCAAAAGATTACCAGATTTAAATGGATAAGAATTTTAATAACATGGTAATTAAGCACATTTAGCAAAATGACTCAGCTACTGTGTAGTTTTACACCACAGTAGAAACTACTTTATTTCCTCTCCATATCGGACTAATCGATTACAGTAGAAATTTTAAAAAGAGGTTTTAAACAGGTTAATTAAACGAACAACCTATACCAGCAGGAGTCTATTGAAAAGTGTAGATTAACAATGGCAAGGAAGTTGATTGCCGTCCCGTCAAACGCGCTTTTAAACATTGGACCTCTTCAACTCCCTCTAAAATGTGTCGAGATACGCTGGTTTACTCTCGTTAATCGCAAGTGTGATATTATACGCAGATTTTCAACTCGGGTTATCACAAATGTTTATGGCGTGAGGAAAAAGAAACCTGATGATCAAAGCTTGTTAACGAGTTCGTAGCAGCAGCTATATGTGTTCCCTACTGAGATTTGCTACAAATCATGGTACCAAGAATTACTATATTAATAAAATGACTTGCGAAGGTGATTCCATACTAATCAGTAATCCTTAAAGGCATGTTAAACCTTGGGCAGGGTACTTTAAGGGATAGTCCAATTAGTGACCTACACCCCACTCGCTTCAAGGGAACTGATTAGATCGTTTGAAAAGGTTTGAGAAAGTGTTTCATTTTACTGAAGGTGGTTGGTTTATAACACATTCCTGTGGTATGAAAGATAACTATGTATGAGCAGTTTTGTTAGTCCATCTTAATTCTTCAACTTGGATCCAAGAGACTGTGAGATTTAGTGGCTTCAAAATAGAAGCCAATGGCGACTATACTATCGTTTTCCATTATTCTTAATAAAAATGAGATAAACTCTTTGTACTGAGAGTCTTTTTTGATTGTATTTCCAAATGAACTGTGTCCTTATTAAACAATATTATTGCTCATTTATTTATTTATTGTACTCCCGTTATCTTCTTTACGTCTTCACAAATTTAGTACTACGTTTGAGTAGTGCATTTTTGATGCCATATATCAGAATTTGTACCTCATAAATTAAATTAAATGCTTAAAAAACCGAGATGCTGCCTATTATTTAGAGTGAGCAATGAACAAACTGAATAAGCGGTTAATATATTCCTCGATAATTATCAGACGCCTAACTAAGACTCGTGAACTGCAAACACGAGAGAACCAAGCTGGCTTTAGACCTGGTCGTGGCTGCATCGACCACATATTCACCATTCGTCAGATTCTAGAACACAGGCATACTTATCGACGTCCGACAATGGTGGTCTTTCTCCACTTAAAAGCAGCATTTGACTCGGTAGACCGCGAGATTCTGTGGCAGTGTCTGTCATTGAAAGGCGTACCCCAGAAGTACATAAACCTTGTAAAGGCTCTTTACTCGAACACTACTAGTCGAGTCAGAGCTTATGGCGAACTGTCATCTACTTTTGCAACCTCAAGTGGTGTCCGTCAAGGCTGTCCACTTTCTCCATTTTTGTTTAACTTCATCATAGATCTACTGATGGAAATAACTTTCTCGTCGACTGAGTTCTCGGGTATTGATCTCCTACCAGGAGGTCCACTTATCGACTTAGAATACGCAGATGACATAGTCTTGTTTGGTGAAGACGCTGACAAAATGCAGAGTCTTCTGGTAGCACTGAGCAACAATGCCAGGATGTTTGGAATGCGCTTCTCTCCCTCTAAATGCAAGTTGTTGCTTCAGGACTGGTCTGCGTCAACATCTGAACTAAGGATAGGGAGTGGAGTAGTCGAACGCGTTGACAACTTCACCTATCTTGGAAGTCTGATCAGCCCTAATGGGTTGGTATCGGACGAAATCTCAGCACGGATTCGAAAAGCTCGTTTGGCTTTTGCCAACTTGCGTCACCTATGGCGAAGGCGAGATATCCGTCTATCAATAAAAGGACGAGTATACTGCGCGGCAGTCCGTTCTGTTTTAATTTACGGCAGCGAAACATGGCCATTAAGAGTAGAAGACACTCGTAAGCTATTAGTATTTGACCACAGATGCCTTAGAAATATTGCTGGCATCTGCTGGGATCACCGGGTAAGTAATAGTGAGGTTAGACGCAGGGTATTAGGGAATTATGGTAAATCAGTTGATGAGGTTATGAATCTTCATCGACTGAGATGGTTGGGCCACGTGTTACGTATGCCTGAACACCGATTACCACGACGTGCAATGCTATCTGGTCTTGAAAATAGTTGGAAGAAAGTTAGGGGCGGCCAAACCAAAACGTGGCATCAGTGCTTGAAGTCACTAACTTCTAGTCCGAGCCATGTTGGCAGATGCGGACTACTTGGTTGGGGTCCGCGTGACTATCGTAACCAATGGTTGGAGACTCTTGGTGACATGGCTCAGAATCCATCACAATGGCGTCGGTGTATACACTCCCTGTCTTCCCTTAAACTAAGAGATTAAAATCACTTCATATCTTTCTTTCTACGAACTAATTCTTTCTTCTTGTACTATATCTCTACATGCAATCTTTCTCTTACATGCTATGAATCCGGTGTTCATCTTGTTGTGCTGATGCGGTATGGCAACCTGGACCGATGCACATATGTGCCTGGTCCTACGTTGTAGCTGACTGACTGACTGATATTCCATTTAATATATATACTGAGTAAATCAGGGCACAGAATTAGTCTCCGTTCTACTTTATGGCCGTAAGACATGGTATATGAAAGTAGGAGACATATGTAGACTAAAGATTAATGATCATAAGTGTCTTTGAAGCATTCCTCGCGTTTCGAGGAACGATCAAATGAGCAAGCGTAGGTGCAAAATCGGTTGATGAGTTTGTAAATCTCCATCGACTGATATGGTTAGGGTATATGCTATGTATCTCTGACTACCCACCTACCTCGACAAGTGATGCTCGTTAGTGCAACAGCATCTTGGAAAAAAGCTAAGGGAGCTGATGTTGGTAGATGCAAACGACTTGGTTAGAGTGTGTGATAATTGAGATCAGCGGTTGGAGACTTTGGATGACATACCTCAGAATCAATTCACAATGGTTCACATGCATCCAATATTCATCTTCCTCTTGATCTTGAATTTCACTGTCCGTTCATACATAACTTTTAACAATCTTTCTCAATCATTTTTATCACTGCTACTAAATTATTTTGATCTTTCTGATGTATATATTTCGTCTCTCTAATGTGGTATGGGAAATTGCGCCAACGTACATTTGTGTCCAGTTGATGATATCTGTCTTCCTGAATATGCTCCAATTAATAATTGCATTTACTTAGATAAAATACTAATTGATGTCTTTTAATGCCAGTTTAACAATCAAACGTAAATACACTTACTAAATCCTCCGAGATCTCTTTCACCATCGAATAAATATGGCGTGCTTTCTCCAGTAATTAATAAATTAATCAGACACTGACTAGCATGTCCATGAATTGGATCAATCAAAGCATCCATTTCACCATTCATTTCATTTATAAGTGACTGAAGTCCATGTGTGAACAAAACAGAATAAAGGAAGCACAATACTCCATATTTTGATTTTATTTGAGGAAGTAACGAGAAAGCAACTGCACGGAGTTCCTCGACAGTTTCCGCTTCGAAGCATCTAAATGAAAAAATATTTTACTTGTAATTACAAGCATAGATTAAAGTACACCAACCAAAAAAGTTGCTTAATAAGATATACCTGGACTTTAGGCTATAGGAATACAGCAACTCGCCTATGGTGGAAATTCGGCTCTACCTAACGTTCTCGAGTCACTGCCTGATTGAAAATTGTATGCTACCATCAAATACGAATACAAAAGCAGTTTTTCTGAAACCACGTGCATCATTCACACTGGCTGGCTTCAACGTTCTCACACTTATGCAGGTTGGACAACAGATAGGCCTGGCTTTGTCTTTAGAAAGTCTTAATATCGACGTCTGTTGTCTATCCGAGACCCGTATTTAAGGCTGGTGAAGTACAAATTCGATCTCCATCTGTCGCTTCAAAAAGCTTGATTTACGTGCGCTTATCCGGGGACCCTGTGGCATCTTCGTCTGGTCTTGCTGGAGTTGGTGTCGCACTAAGCGCTAGAGGTGAGGCAGCACTAGAACGTTCCATCAAAGTGAGAAGAAATCGGCGTGAGAAACGATGTCTTTTCATCATCACCGCCTATGCTCAGACAGATTGCAGCCCGGATGCAATCGAGGATGAGTTTTACCATCAGTTATCTGTTCCCCAGAAAGTGCGTTCGACAGATATTGTATTACTAGCCGGAGACTTGAATGCTCAGGTCGGGCGTCTAGGCACAGAAGAGAGTCGTTTAGGTGGCCGATGGGGACTTGTTGGTCGCAAGGAAGATAAAGGGGACCGTCGACTACAACTGTGCATAGACCACAACCTGTTTTTGGCTGGCACTAACTTTCGGCACAGTCATCGCCGATGTGCAACCTGGCGTCCTCCCTCTGCATCTCAAGCCTGAACTCAGATTGATCACGTCGCGATCAGCTACCGCTGGCGTGATTGTGTACAAGACTACCGCTCCTTTTGGAGTACCTATCTGGACTCGGATCATGCCTTGGTCTGCGCCAATCTTACCTTACTTTTCAGTGGACAACGAAGTGACCGTCACCAACGGATTGATGTTAGCAAGCTGGTTGCAACTTCTATTGCAAGTAAGTATCGAACTGAGCTAGCTGCTAGGCTAGCTACCATTCCACCGAAAAGTATAGGTGAGTATTCGTCGCAACTGCATGACGCCATGAAGACGGTGAGTAAAGCCGCTTGCGGCTTCGCGAAACGTCCCGCTTATAAGCACTGGGTTTCTTCAGGCTCCTTACAACTTATCGAAGCCCGTCGGTCTACTCCGGGTGATCGTGAATTTGACCACAAACGAAGGTTGTTACGTAGTGAAATTGTGCAAAGCTTGAGTAAGGACCGAGAAGCTTGGTGGTCGGAGCGTGATAATGAGCTGGAAGCAGCAGCTGCATCTGGTAACTACCGGAAGCTCTTCCAACTCATCCGAGCCACTGGCAGCAAGAAGTCTGGTGTGAGCGAAACAATCTACGAGGATGATGGAATGCCAATCACTAACATCCATCGACGTCTTGGACGATGGGCAGAATTTTTCGAAGGGCAATTCAACTGGCCTGTTGCTCCGGCAACATCGGTCAGACTGTCCTGCCTTCCATAACCCGTCAAGACTGACCGACTTAACAAGGCGGAAGTCCGCAAGGAACTCCAACTCTTGAAGCGCTACAAATCACCTGGCCCAGATGACTTACCTCCGGATCCTTTTAAAGATGGTGGTGACTTTCTGACTAAGGAATTGACGACGTTGTTTACAAAGGTTTGGGAACTACAGAGTGTACCAACGTCGTGGAATGAGTCGATAGTTGTCCCTATCTTTAAAAAGGGTTCACGTCGTTTCTGTAACAACTATCGGGGGATAAGTCCACTTCCGATTGCGTCCAAAATATTGGCTTCCGTCATACTTCATAGGTTGTTCAAAACCCGAGAAAGATTGACTCGCGAGGAGCAGGTTGGTTTTCGTTCTGGTCGAGGATGTATTGATCATATCTTCACCCTCCGCCAAATGTTAGAACACCGTCATACTTATCAAAGGCCAACAATCGTAGTGTTTCTTGACATCAGGGCTGCCTTCGATTCGTTGGACAGGACTGCTCTCTGATATTGTCTATTGAAGAAGGGTGTGCCTGAGAAGTTTATTAACATCCTAAAAGTCCTATATACAAACACCTCAGGCGGAGTGAGGGCATACAAACACCTCTCTCCATTGTTCCATTCGAGCAGTGGGGTTAGACAGGGTTGCCCAGTCTCATCATTCCTCTTCAACTTTGCCATCGACGACATTCTGAAAACAGCTCTGATGGGTGTAAGTAATGGCGGTGTGGATCTGTTGCCTGGAGAAAGACCTCTCGACCTTGAGTATGCGGATGATATTGTCTTACTGTGCGATAATGCCAAAGCCATGCAATCCGCACTTAATCAGTTGGCAATCAGTGTCCGTAGGTATGGTAAGGTGCAAAGTACTTCTACAAGACTGGCAGGATTCTAATCCTGTACTCACTCTGGATGGTGAACAGATAGAAGTAGTCGGGAAGTTCGTGTATCTGGGTAGCTGCATAAGTGTTGGTGGGGGGGTGAGTGGTGAGATCAATGCACGTATATTGAAAGTCAGAGCGGCTTATGCCAATCTGGGCCATCTTTGGCGCCTTCGTGATGTCAGTCTGGTTGTAAAAGGTCGGATCTACAACGCGTCGGTGGGAGCAGTTTTGCTCTATGCTTGTGAAACCTCCGAGTTGAGGACGTTAAACGACTTTCTGTGTTCGATCATCGTTGTCTCCGAAGGATTGCTGACACCCAGTGGCAACACCATGTTAGTAATACAGAGGTTCGGCATCGTGTGTTCGGGCACAGAGTCGATAATGCAATTGGTGTCACCATCTTGAAACATCGACTTCGGTTACTTGGACATGTTCTATGAATGTCCTCCCAGAGAAGTCCATGTCGTGCATTATTTGCCGACTCTGGGACTGGTTGGAAAAAGCGGAGAGGTGGTCAGTGCATGACATAGTGTCGTGGCATGAAAGAAAGCTGCAAAGGACTGGCTTGTGTTGGTTCTTCACGACTCCCTGGCTGGGGTCCGAGAGATGGTGCAACACAGTTGCTAGAGTCGTTATCAGATATGGCTCAGAATAGAAGCCAGTGGCAATCCTACTGTAACCTTCTTTTACTTTCTTCATAAAAAAACATGGTTGTATCTTCCTTAACTGAAAGATTTCTCCTGATTGTACCTTTCCGTAACCCCATTATTACTATTATAATTATTACACTACCTTACACTAATCTGTTCATTATTTTTTCTCTTCGAATTCTCATTGTTTTGTGTGGCGCACAAATATTTGGTGCCCTCTTGTAAGAATATTTATGTGTTCAAACAGCTTACTTACTTACTTACGCCTGTTACTCCTCGTGAAGGAGCATAGGCCGCTCACCATCATTCTCCATCCAACCCTGTCCTGGGCAATCCTTTCTAGCTCCGTCCAGTTGTAATTCATTGTTTTCATATCTGCTTCTATTATCCGACGCAATGTGTTCTTTAGCCTTCCTCTTTTTCGCTTCCCTTCAGGATTCCAAGTTAGGGCTTGTCTCGTGATGCAGTTTGACGATTTGCGTAATGCATGTCCTATCCATTTCCATCGTCTTTTCCTAATTTCTTCTTCAGCTGGAAGTTGGTTTGTTCTCTCCCACAGAAGGCTATTGCTGATGGTATCCGGCCAATGGATGTTGAGTATCTTACGCAGACAACTATTTATAAATACTTGCACCTTCTTGATGATGGTTGTTGTAGTTCTCCAAGTTTCAGCTCCATACAATAGAACTGCCTTGACATTCGTATTGAAGATTCTCACTTTGATATTGGTTGACAGTTGTTTTGAATTCCATATGTTCTTCAACTGTAGGAATGCTGTCCTTGCTTTGCCAATCCTTGCCTTTACGTCTGCATCTGGTCCTCCTTGTTCATCGATGATGCTTCCCAGGTATGTGAAGGACTCTACATCTTCCAGAGTTTCGCCATCAAGTGTGATTGGATTGCTGTTCTCCGCTTTGAATTTGAGGACCTTAGTTTTCCCTTTGTGTATGCTGAGGCCTACTGATGCAGAGACTGCTGCTACACTGGCTGTCTTCATCTGCATCTGTTCGTGTGTACGTGATAGGAGGGCTAGGTCATCTGCGAAGTCCAAATCGTCTAATTGGTTCTGAGCTGTCCATTGTATTCCGTGTTTTCCTTCAGATGTTGAGGTCTTCATAATCCAGTCGACCACCAGAAGAAAGAGGAAGGGAGAGAGTAAACAGCCTTGTCTGACTCCGGTCCTTACTTGGAATGCATCTGTCAGCTGTCCTCCATGCACTACTTTGCACTGTAGTCCGTCGTATGAGTTCCGGATAATATTGACAATCTTCTCAGGAACTCCGTAGTGTCGAATAAGTTTCCATAATGTCCTCCTATCTACACTGTCGAATGCCTTTTCATAATCAATGAAGTTGATGTATAGTGATGAGTTCCACTCAACTGATTGTTCGACGATGATCCGTAGTGTTGCAATTTGGTCTGTGCACGACCGATCCTTACGGAATCCAGCTTGTTGATCTCGAAGTTGGGCGTCTACTGCATCCTTCATCCGGTTCAGCAACAATCTGTTGAAGACTTTCCCTGGTATTGACAGTAGTGTAATGCCTCTGTAATTTTCACATTTGCTCAGATCTCCTTTCTTTGGAATCTTGACGAGGTGTCCTTCTTTCCAGTCCATCGGCACTTGTTCCTCCTCCCAAATCCTTTTGAATAGAAGATAAAGCATGCTTGTGGTTGCTTCGATGTCTGATTTCAGTGCTTCAGCTGGTATGTTGTCGGGTCCTGCTGCTTTCCCGTTCTTGATTTGTCTGACGGCCATTCTAATTTCTTCCGTAGTTGGTGGATTGACATCTATAGGAAGATCTATGTGTGCTGCTTCGATGTCCGGTGGATTCATTGGAGCCGGCCTATTCAGGAGTTCCTCGAAGTATTCTACCCATCTGTTACGCTGTTGTTGAATTTCGGTGATTTTCCTGCCTTCTTTGTCTTTGACCGGCCTCTCTGGTTTACTGTATTTCCCTGCTAGTTTCTTCGTTGTATTGTGAATCTCTTTCATATTTCCTTCTCTAGCAGCTTTTTCTGCCGTCGATGCTAGTTCTTCAACGTATTTCTTCTTGTCGGCTCTAATGCTCCTCTTCACTTGTTTGTTTGCTTCTATGTATTCAGCTTGTGCTTGAACTTTCTCTGCTCGTGTTCGGCTGTTGTTTATTGCTGCCTTCTTGTTCTTCCTTTCTTTGATCTTGTCTAGTGTTTCTGTAGAGATCCATTCCTTATGATGGTATTTCTTTAGACCGAGAACCTCTTGACACGTTGAAGTTAATGCTTCCTTGATGCCTTTCCAGTTGTCCTCCATACTAGTTTCTTCTTCTTTCAGTAGATCTTGTGAGGCTTGGAACCTGTTGTTGAGAGCTATCTTGAATTCATTGAGTTTGTCAGTATCTCGAAGGAAGGCTGTATTGAACCTTTGTATTGCTGTTTGTCCACTTGTCCAGTTCTTTTTTAGCTTCAGTTTTAAATTGGCTACAACTAGGTGGTGATCTGAAGCTACGTCAGCACCTCTCCTGGTTCTTACATCTTCCATTGTCCTTCGGAATTTTTTGTTGATGCAAATATGATCTATTTGGTTCTCTGTAGTGTGGTCCAGTGAGATCCATGTAGCCTTGTGTATACGCTTGTGTGGAAATATTGTGCCTCCTATGACCAATTTGTTGAATGCACATAGATTTGCAAATCTTTCTCCATTTTCGTTTCTTTCTCCCAGTCCATGTCGCCCCATAATATCTTCATATCCAGTGTTGTCTATTCCGACTTTGGCATTTAGATCTCCCATCAGAATAGTTAGGTCCTTTCTTGGGCATTTCTCAATGATTGACTGCAGCCGCTCGTAGAACTGATCTTTAATTTCGTCGTTGCTATCATTGGTGGGTGCATAACATTGGATAATATTCATTAAGATCCCCTCCTTCTTTGTTTTGAATGATGCTTTGATGATTCTGGATCCGTGAGATTCCCATCCTACAAGTGCATTTCGTGCTACTTTGGACAGCATAAGAGCGACTCCCTGAGTGTGTGGAGCATTGTCCTCTTCGTGACCGGAGTATAGCAGCATCTCTCCCGTAGCTAGCCTTTTCTGTCCAGCTTGGGTCCAGTGGGTTTCGCTGATTCCCAGTACTGCTAAGTTGTATCTCCTCATTTCCATTGATATTTGACTGGTCTTCCCGGTTTCCCAACTTTGTTCGAACGTTCCATGTACCTATAAAAAATTTTGCTCTGGTTGTTAGAAGGGGCATCGGCCTCGTGGCTTCCGAAGGAACTCGGCTTTCACCATGAAGCGTCATAATTCTTCTAAATGAAGACTTTCTAACTCTAAGGGAAGAGTTAAAATGGTTTGGATTGTTTTTTCTGGTAAGCGTTTTTTTAGCGAGTTAGTTTTCTACGGGATGGGGACGCTAACCCCATGCCCAACCCTCCTCCTTTACCCGGGCTTGGGACCGGCAGCAACCCTATAAGAGCTACAGGCGGAGTTGTGTTCAAATAAATAAATAAAAAATAACGACAGCTTAGTGAAAAGAATATTACTTCATATTCTATTTTCTTCTGTTTACAATAACCCCTAAAATATCAAACTGATGGTTCACCAAAAGCATAAAAAACATATAAATCTGAGTTTACAACCATCAATCGAGGAAGACAGGGGTACGATATGATAGTACCATCTTGTATCACAAACTGTTGGAAAAGAACATAACAATCCAGGAAGACATGAGTTTAGATAAAATTTACGATCGCACCAATAAAATTAAATAGTGAAATCCACCGAAGACTACCGAAATATGCCGACACAAACTATCTGATGACCACATCAATGTGTAAGTGAAGATTAATAACACTATGATAAGACTGACTACTGCATAAGAGAAAATGTCAAATTCAAAGGGTCCGAAAAACATAGTTAGCAATCGCGTTGAAGGAATGGCTATATGCAGACGCACAAAATGTATTAACACTTTTTCATAGAAACATGCCCAGAAATCATACTAACCGATAAGTTTGCATTTACAAATGCTTCTTACTACAGGTCGAGTATAAAAAAGAGGATAATAGTCAGTAGTTCGACAAAAAGGAAATCACTTTCAGACCCTTTAACATACACACCAGACTTTAAAATGCAACAAAAACTGGAATGAGGACAAAGTTCATTGAATAGTGCTATGAGGGTTATTGACTAGTCGTGATTAATGAGCACATTTCCAACTACTTTACCTATTGCCTTACCATTACTTCGTACTTTTTTGTTACGATTAGCTATGTAATCCATTTTTATTGTTGTGATTGGCCCATAACTTGGGTTGAATAGCTTGATAATTTCTATAAATCCTTATATTACTGTGCATAAGAGTAAAACCTGATGAAGATCTGTTTAAAAACTATATTGTTCTCTTAAATGTGTTGTCCTAATAAGGTTTTTCACCATCTTCGCTTCCTAGATCTGTCTTTTTACCCCAATTCGATAACATTAACTTTGAGAAGGTAAAATGAAGAAATCCACATTTTAGAAAACACGTGCAGCTTACCTTAAACCATTAATAAATTTCTGGAAACCGCATTCTCCAAGCTGGTTTATATTAGAATCCGACGACTTATTGGCAGCACTGAAATCACTGGTGACACATTTTTCATCTAAAATAAAATTCCCAAAATCACTCTTATTACAAACTTTGAATGGAGGACTCAGAACTCGCTGGTTCTTCATCTTCGCACCAGTAAACCCAGCAAAAATGGCTTTGGCGATCACTCGAAACCAATAGAATTATTCTTAACAGCGCGCTCAGTAGAATTTCCATATTGTCGACATCTAAGTTTTAGTGCCCATTTCATGACAAAAATGTACCTGTAATATCAGCTAGGTTCTGCTTGCGAATGAACAAAACCTCGTACATAATTGTGGCTTGAGTAGTAGCTATAATAGCACATGGACCACCTGTTGATTGTACCAAAGCACTAAACTCAACAGGGCTAAATGAAAATCCTAGGCAAAGTTACGGTAACGAAAACTGTTCACCTTGACACCAACGTTTGAACAAATCTGTCTTCACATTGGATCCACCCCATATAACACGATTGAATTCACGTATCCGGGCTATACAGCTCTCAGTCATCAATAGATCGTTAATTGGTACTGTAAAACAACCGTTTGCATATCCCACAAACTACTGGAAGCTGAATGAAAAAAATGACGGATTTGTGGAAACTTCAATTTGAAAGCTAACCTACGATAAAATGGAGGATATTTTTGAGGAAAGATGTTATTGTCACAAACTTGGAATATCGAGTAGAAAAAAATTGATTACCATGTACAATCGAGACAAGTAAATATTTAGAAGTCGAACTGCTGAGAGTATCTCACAGTCAGTAGGATTAAGTACCAGATAATCTTTCTCAAACAAAGCCAGGAATTCAAACGCATTAACAAAACATCTAAAAAAGTTAAGATATAAGGTACCTAACAGATTACCACGCACATGATATTTATCTTTAATCATGTTTTAGGAGGCAAAAGTCAATAATTGGGGAATGAACTAAACCTACCAGTTAGGTCTTAATTTACTGGAGGGGGAGAGAATTATAAAACTGATATCGATCAATGGTTTACAACACAATCATGTTTACTCTTGTGTTAATAATTTATATATATGTACTCCGATTGATTGAACAAAAAAGCCTATTCTACTGGGCAGCTATTTTGTTTTTTAATACCAATTTATCAGAAGCTTAAGTTAAGAATAAAGACTCGAGAGCAGTCATTATTCGGCTATATGGTATCAATGGAGTTGAACTTCTGCCGGGAGATTCCCTTGTTTACTTAAAATATGCCGTTGACATAGTTCTATTTGATGAAGACGCTGACAAAATGCAAAGTCTTTTGCCCACCGTAAGCAACAATACAAACATGTTCGGGATGCGGTTCTCTCTTTCAAAATGCAAAATGTTGCTTCAGAATTGGGTTGCATCGGCACCTGAACTAATGATAGGGAGTAAAGTAGTTGAGCGTGTCGACCACTCCACTTGTCTTGGGAGTCACATCAGCCTTTGTGGTTTAGTGTGTGACGAAATCTCAGCACAGATACAGAAGACTCGACTAGTTTTTGCTAACTTGCGCCATTTATGGCGTAGGTGGCATATCCGTCTACCAACCAAAGGACGGGTTTACTGCTCATCAGTGTGTTCCGTCCTACTTTATTCGTGATGTCCAATTTTTTCTCTTTCCAAATTTATTTCACTGGATTACACTCCTTGAATAATATCTTCAAACCCTAATCTTTCCGATTACTGCTTATACTCTTAACACCTCTACCACTGTAGGATTTGGATCGACAGTTGTATCTCTATGCTAATGTGATGTGGCAACTTGAACTGATATACATATGGACGAAGTTCTATGTTGTTGCTGGCTAACTGACGGAAGGGTTGTTTATGTTGACTTACGATGTTTCTGTAAATCGTTCACGTATCAAACTAGCTATCGATCAAAAAGTTCATATGTTTTCATACACACCTCGTTCTAACTTTGTCAGTTACCACCTAATAACTTTTTATTAATAGTCCTTTTCCACATAATTAAGACCGTGTTAAGCAGCATATTTCCAATCAAAAACACAATAACGCGACCTTTATCTGAAATTCCTAGTAAAATACATTCTACACCATCATAATCGTTCCTTTGTAAATGTAAGTTTCAGTTTAAACGGTGGTGTGGCAACTTGAACTGATGCACATACGCACGAAGTTTTACGTTGTTGCTGACTGACTGATATGGTATCAGTACATATTATCAATCGATCGAAGAATTGTATCCACTAACTTAACAAACTTCAAACGTTTGTTGATTAAATTATAGACGGTTAGTTTATAACAGTGGTGATAGAAATGGGATAGATTGTTAAGATGTCGATTTTGTTGGATAAGTAATTGAAATATTTGTTTTGTTCAATTCATCTAAAACTTATCAATATACAATCAATCAGACAGATGTCGAGAAATACTCACATGAAGTGAAGTCAAAGTCAATAAAAAATAAAAGAATAGTACATCAAAGTATAAGGTTTCAGTTTATGCGACAGTAAAGTGATTGAGAGCAATGACATAACTCATTCAGTGAAGCCTTAAAGTTCTTGTTGATTTAAATTCAGCTGGAGCATCGTACCCTTAACTTCTAAAAAAATACTCGACGAGAAATCTAATATCTTTAAATGGAGATTATGTCCACAAATTCCCAGGTACGGTCGAGGGTGAGGAGGGTTATCCCTCTCTCTAAATCCTCTCAAGTGACCAGGCTTATACAGCCGCTGCCAGGGAAGTCCTACTCACTGCCTTCTCTTGGCGGGGGTGTTGTCTACGAAATTGAGAGGACGAAAAGCGAATGTCCAGCGATTTAACCGGGCTGAAAGATATGGATGATCCACCTAGGGGAGTTGGAAAACCCTGATTCTAAACCAGTGGTGCAGATGGGCTCCTGTATCCTGAAGAAACAAATGGCGTGAGAACTAATTATTGGTTAACGGCTACCACCTGCTCCGGTCTGGGCAGCCGAGCAATATCACAGCCCACACGCAAATCAAGTGACTTGTGTGGCGCATATGTATTCGATGCCTCTTTGTACCAATACTTATGTGTTTAAATAAATAAATAAAGGTTCGCAAAATTTAGATGAGTTTACAGAATATTCAGCTGATCAGAAACAACAAACCACATATCAAGAAAACTCATGAACACCACTGACTCACAATAACAACGAAAAATCAACTTTAGTACTTACAGTGTTACAATCCGTATCGTCTGACAAATTTTTAGCCTAGAGAGGGGTATTCCTACTTAAGAAATAGGCTATGAAAAAGGAATATCTTAAAATGTATATCGATACCGCGGTTGCAGTGTATAGCAATTATTTATCCGTGGAACATCAAGTTCATTAATAAAGGAGAGGAACCATCATGAAAAACGTGAGAGACATAATTTTCCTTCACTCTTTACTAAGAACAATTCAATAAATCTATCTGAGAACGGTCTGTACAATATCCTATTACCCTAGTGTTTAGTTCTGATCAGAAATGACTAAATCATGGACTGTTTAAGAAACATAATTACACCTGTTACTCCTCGTGGAGTAGCATAGACAGTTCACCAGCATTCCTCATCCAACTCTGTCCTCGACAATCCTTTCCAGTTTTTATTCATCATTTTCATGTCTGCTTCCAATTATCAACGTAACATCTTCCTTAATCTTCATCTTTTCCACTTCCCTTCAGGATTCCAAGTTAGCGCTTGCTTAGTAATGTAGTCTGACGATTTTCCAAATGTATATCACACCCATCTACAGCATCTCACCCCAGTTTCTTCTTAAACAGGAAGCTGGTTTGTTCGCCCACACAGTAGGTTGTTGCTGATAGTATCTGGTCAACGGATATTCAGTATCTTACGTAGGCAACTGTTTATAAATACTTGTACTTCTTCGGTGATGGTTGTGGTAGTTCTCCAACTTCCAGCTCCACACAGTACAACTGTCTTGACGTTCGTACTGAAGATTCTGCTTCTCATGTTGGCTGACAGTTGTTTTGAGTTCTATATGTTCTTCAAATGTAGGAATGAGGTCCTTACTTTGCCAATCCTTGTCTTCACGTCGGCATCGAACTGTCTCAGTTTATCGACGGTGCTGATCAGCTACATGAAAGTGTCCACCTCCTCCACTGTTTCTCCATCAAGTGTGATTGAGTTGGTGTTCTCTGTGTTGTATTTCAGGATCTTGCGTTTTCTCTTGTATATGTTGAGGCTTACTGATGCAGAGGCTGCTGAGGCACTGTTTGTCTTGACCTACATTTGTTGGTGTGTATGGGATAGAAGAGCTAAGTGATCTACGAAATCCAAATAGTATAGTTGCATCCACCCTGCCCATTGTATTCTGTGCGTCCCGTCAGATGTGCAGGTCTTCATAATCCAGTCAGCCACCAAAAGAAAGTGGCAGGGAGAGATTAGACAGTGTCGAAGAAGGTTCCGTGAGGTTCTTTATCCACGCTGTCAAATACCTTCGGTCTGTGCACAACCGATCCTTACGGAATCCGACCTATTGATTTGGAAGCTAGGTGTCTACTGAATCTTTAATCCAGTTCAGCAACATTCTGTCGAAGACCTTTCCTAGTACTGACAGCAATGTGATTTCTCTGTAGTTCTTACATTTACTCAGATCTTTATGTGGTATCTTGATGAGGTGTCCTTCTATCCCGTCTGTTGTCACTTGTTCTTTGTCCTAAATCTTCCTGAATAGAATGTAAAGCATGGTTACGGCTACTTCTGTGTCTGACTTTGGTGCTTCAGCTGGTATATTGTCAGATCTTGTTGCTTTCCCACTCTTGATTTTCTGATGGCCATCCCGATTTCTTCGATCGTTGTTGGAGTGACATCTATAGAATGATGTGTGTGTTGCTTCGATATCTGATGGATTCAATGGAGCTGGTCCATTCAAAAGTTCCTCGAAGTATTCTACATATCTGTTCTTGGAACTCGGTGATTACCTTATTCGTTCTTGACCAGACTCTGGTTTACTATATTTTCCTGTCAGTTTCTTTGTCGTATCATATAGTTGTTTCATATTTCATTCTCTTGCAACTTTGTGTATACGTTTGTGTGAAAATATTGTGCCGCTTATAACCGATTTGTTAAATGCACATCGATTTATAAATCTTTTCCCATTTTCGTTCCTCTCTCCCAGTCCATGTCGTCCCATGATATCTTCATACCCGGTGTTGTCCATTCCGCCTTTGCCGTTCAGAATTTCCACCAGGATTGTTAGGTTCTTTCCTGAGCACTTTGCTATGAGCGATTGTAGCCTCTCGTAAAACTGATCTTTATCGTTGTCATTGCTATCATTGGTAGGTGCACAACAGTGGATAACATTTATTGCGATTCACTCCTTCTTCGTTTTGAAGGATGCTTCGATGGTTTTGGACCCATGAGTTTACCACCCTATAAGTGCTTTTCAAGCTTCTCTGGACAACATCACAGTGTAAGGAGTATTTTCCTCTTCGCGACCGGAGTACGCCAACATCTCTTCAGAATCTCAGTGATCTTGAGTGCTGCTAGTGGTATGAGGGTGGTTATCACTTTC